CTCCTACATTTTCAATGAACATTTCAGTCACTGTCATAAATACAGCCTCATAAATATTTCCTAGGAGCAGGTTCAAATACATGAGTACAGTCAAATCCTGCTACAACGAAGTTGACGGGACATGTGAAAAAATTCATTGTCGCGAAATTTCGTTGTAGCGAAATTTCATCTATAGACCACAAGATTTGGAAAGATCTGGTGATTATGACTCATCATTTGGTCCCTGAAAGCGCATGCATTAAACTCTCCCCAACTCAGACGTACCTGGCCGAATACTGAGGGAACATATTTTCAAACCGGGTATAACGTGATCATAATATACAAAAAATTTGGAGCTGAAGTCGGGATGCGAGTTAAACTAAAATTTTGGTGCTGAAGTTAGCTTCATGACACGGCTTCAGGGCAATGCAAAGAAGGCGGCCTTGCATCAATACTGTGGTAGTTTTTTCTTCCTCCCGTGGTTTGCGGCCCGGGGGTGCTGGTTATATCCAGGGGTTGGTTATACAGAAAAAAATACGGTCTTCAGATGACTTTTGGGGCGTGCCAAGTGCACATTGCCGCAAATGAGCGTGCCAAAGCTTAGCTAGAGGCCAATTGATAACTGCAACTGAAATTGACCAAGCTCCGCACTACCGTGGCCGTAAGTGAACGACAGGAAAGCCCTAACGCTTCGTGTCGTTTTATGGCTTTATTGCCTTTATTCTACAGCTGTGTTAACTGCGTGTCTTGGGGTGGTATTCGCTATCTATATCTATGAACAGATATGTGGGGTTTAACACAACAAAACCACCATATGATTATGAGAGACGCCGTAGTGGAGGGCTCTAGAAATTTTGACCACCTGGGGGTTCTTTAACATGCACCCAAATCTGAGCACACGGGCCTACAGCATTTCGGCCTCGTTTGAAAATGCAGTCGCCGCAGCCGAGATTCAATCCCGCCACCTGCGAGTCGGCAGCGGAGTACCTTAGCCAGTAGACCACCACGGCAGGGTGCTATCTATGAACAAAACAATAGCGACCCTGCATGGTTTCCTGCGCAGTGGCTGTGACAAACACTAGTTCTGTGTGCAATCTGTGCGCGCTGCGCCGGTCGTGCACGTGACTTAAGAACTGCATCGTTGCTATCTTAGTTCGCGTTGTTACAGCAAGAAATATTGCGTTGAGTCGGTGCACATTGACTGCGCGCATACTTTCGTGGTTGCCCATGATCGCTTTCAACATAACCGCATTTGTGTTAGCAGCGGTTGCAGCAGAATGCAGTTATGCTGCGAGTAGGTGCGCGCTACTCATGTGTGCACCTTCACGCGGCATGGTTGTCATTCACGATCCCAGGGTTAGTGACGACGAGTGGTAGTTTAGTTTTGGGCACGACATCAATAATATATGGCGGGGTTTCTTGGAGATCAAGATTCTGCCACGACCCGCACATACTTACATCAAAACCACCGGCAGCATCATGGTGGGTGGGCGAGCTGTCGCCGAGCACCTAAATGACGATAAACTTAGCAGGATGCACGTGTCGTGGCAGAAAGCATGTATCCAATGAAAACACGGTTGTTGTTATACAGCCATGTGCTCTGGATGTAGCGAGACGTCGAGAAATGGCCGAGTTGGTGTCGGAATTTCGTGGCGATCGAGGCAAGTTGCTTTTTTAAAGACGATAGGACCACCTGGGGCTCTTTTCGACCACCTGGGGTTCTTAACGTGCACCCAAATCTGAGCACACGGGCCTACAACATTTCCGCCTCCATCGGAAATGCAGCCGCCGCAGCCGAGATTCGAACCCGCGACCTGCGGGTCAGCAACCACCGCGGCGGGGCAAGAAATATGCAGGAAAGGTATTCGTTGTGACAAGCCATTTTTAACCTTGTTTTCTATGGTTGGCTAGCGGGGAATCTAAAATCATTCGTTGTGGCAGAAATTTTGTAGCGGGATTCAAATGTATTCGCAAATAATTTGAGCCAATACACCACTCAGCGGAGGGAGCACGAAACAGGTTAGTGAGGTCCATGTAGCAGACGAGCATACGTGGCAGCAGTTCTCCGGAGGATGGATTCATCGTCAGGAAAAAAATGCATTCCAAAGCAGTTTTTTCGCGTTTCACTGAGCACATGGCGAGGATAATGGATAGCATCTTTTCACAAGTTTATGTTTTCTGGGTGAATGGTGAAGAACACCGTAATTAACCAACCTTCGCTTTAGCCAAGTTACTTCGAAGGTGGCACTTCAGGAATAAGCAATACACCGTTGTGATGAAAATGTGGTGCTCTTTGAATTACATCAACAAATCTTAAGAATATAATTTACCTGGAATTAATATAAATCGACTGATAGAAATGTCACAAATTGCCACACGCTAGAGACAACACAGAGTAGGGCTCCGGATAATCTTGACAAGCTGGGCTTCTGAAATTGCACAGTACATATGTATCTAGCATTTCAGCCCCATTGAATTGCGACTGCTGCAACTGGGATCAACCCAGAGTTTTTTTAGTAAACACATAAGCACTGTAACTACTGTGCCACCGCAACGGGCCAAATCAAAATCGTCGTAGTGTTGATTTCAATGTGCTTGCTGCGTGGCATCAAGGCAGGCGCAGGCCCGACGACTGCACTATGAGTGTAGCATGTAGTCATGTTTTACATGACGTGCATATCATGGTTGTCATGTTTGAACGTGTCATTTACCTTCATCATCCATTCACCTCATGTAAACCAAATTTGGTATATGTAAAGCTGGCGAAACAACCGCAAGAGCATCATTAGTGTGGTATGAAGTCATGTTCTTACATGATGTGCATGTCATGATGTTTACACCAGTCATATACCTTCATCATCCATTCAGATCACATAACGTCAAATTTGGTATACATGATACTAGCGATACGGCTACGAGCGCAACAAGACCGTGGTACTATGAACTCATGTTCTTACATGACATGCGTCATGATTATCATGTTTGGATGTGTCATTTACCTTCGTCATCCGTTTGCATCACGTACAGTAGCCTCTCGATAATCCAAGCTTCGATAATTCATACTTTCAGTTATTCAAACAATAATTCAATTTTTTGGTTGGCCCTCTTTTTTTTTTTTTTTCAATGTATTTAAAAGCCTCTTAATTCAAGCTCCATCATTCCGTTAATTCATACATTTTGCAGGTCCATACCAGAAAATATCTGCTGCTTTCCCCCAACTATTTGAAAATTTGTGTGCTTATATAACTCTAACACTCTAAAAATGAGAAATAAGCACCTGAGGCCTTCAAGAAAAAAGGCTTTGCAAGTAAACAAATGTTTGAAACAGCACACGCATGGTAAACCGTGATGCTTCTCAACTGGTATAGAGAGCTTTGTGCTGAAGGCACATACCTATAGCAATGAACGAGTTGGCAATTCACGATTTCTTTAAAAGGCTGATCGGCAATAAATGGCCAATAAACTTGCGGACTTTACACCTCTGCTTTCTGTTCACTGCATGAAGTTACGGCTTAAAAACACCTAAAAATTTTTTTAATGTGATAAAATCAATGTCTCATCATAATGTGAGGTGTCACTCCATCTGAGAGCTTCTGATAATTCAAACTTCTTGATAATTCAAACAAAATTCAGAGGTTCCTTAGAGGTTGAATAAATGAGAGCCTACTGTAATACTAAATTTGGTACATGTGAAGCTAGCGAAATGACTGCGAGTGCACAATGAGCGTGGCATGTAGTCATGACTTACATGGCATGCATGTCATGATTTTCACGTTAGGGTCTGGCACTTATGTCCACCATGCAATTATGTCATACCATATTAGTTTTGCAATATGTCATGTGAACGAAACCATCGCAAGGGCAGCAAGGCCATGAAATATAAATCATGACATTCATGTCATTATTTTCATGTTATGACTAGTCACTTAGGCTCGTAATGCAGTGATGTTATGACATACCAATTTCGGTATAGATCCCATTATCGAAATGGTCCGGAGAGCTGAAAGTCGTAGGGGGCTAGATAAATAGATACGGTCAAAGTTACTAAGGTTTGCTAAGAAATGCTTTGCACTTAAAGACACTTTGCAGCGCACAGGGATTTCTTGTGCATCCGAATTCAGGCAAGACGTTTGCACAAACAACTACATTTATTTTATCGTCAATATTGCCCTTTGTGACAACCAATATGAGGTACTCGGCAGGAAGTACACTCTAACCTTCGACGAAACACCGCGTTTTTACATTTCAATCAAGAAAAACATATTTCCAGCAGCAACAATCCGCACATAGATCTCCTTATGTCTGCGACCTATGGCAGTGTTGCCTAACTTCCAAGTGCCCCCTGGATTTCGTTTTAGGAGCAAATTCAAAGTGGCACTTTGACAACAGTTCTTAAATAAATTTTATATGTAAATGTAAACAAAATATTCATATAAGTCAACAAAATGAATGTCATGATGAATATATATTGATGACTCTGTAGCTTTGGCAACACTACAGCTTTAAGCCAAAATACCTTCATCCTGTGATCAATATAGCGTCAACAGTTCCATAAAACATTTGATTGGATGCATATAAATAATTTGCGATTAAAACAAGAAATGGTACTCACCTATGTTCGAACATTATTTCTTCAAGGTTTTTTTTTTTTATCCTTGCTTATTATTAGAAAAACATACGATATTGCTAATATGTATTATTCAATTAAAGTACTGAATTAAGCAGAACTCAATTCGTTATTCAAAATTTTTCAACATTAGCACATCTATACTGCATATAGCACATATATACTGCATATATACAGCATATATATATACTGCATCTATACTGCATATCTATACTGATGACAGATAAAAAAAAAGAAAACGTTTCCCCAGGGAAATCACAAGACAAATAAGATTAGTATTAAGGTAGTCTGTGAAAACCTTGAATTGTGTTGCCGGGCACCTTAAATAAATTTCAGCCCACAACTTCCCCAATGCTGTTTGCAGCTTCTTTTTGAGACTTAAATTTCAACTCACAACTTTCACAATGCTGTTCACAGCTTCTTTTTGAGATGTCCCTGCTGGAAGCTCAAGGCCAGGTAAGGTGTCGGGAAGTTGAAAGAACAGTAGCTGTCCAATTTCTGCAAAGGGCAACAAAAACAAAAGATACCTTGAGATTAAAATGTCCTCAATGATTTCCTACAAGTCCATTCTTATTAACTCCACAGAAACTGAATGCCACATGAGCGATAATAATGTAAAATGAAACATTCTTATCAAAAAATAAACAAAATAATAGTGGAAGGCATCAAGACTAAATATGGACTGACTTTGGATTGCAACTGTAAGAAAACGTTAAGCAGCCACATATTTATGTCTCAAGTTCCGTGAATCAATAAGATGCAGCTCATTCTTGCCTAGACTGGAGTAAAACTATAATGATGGTTTCCTAATAATGATGCATAACAGTGCTGGTACCAGTAAAGTTGAACCCCATTATAGTATAACAATGTGACAATACAGAAATGTTTCCATTAGAGTATGTATATCCAAAGAGGATAGAAGCCTTTAAACTATTAAACTGTAAGGAGGAGAGGTAACTAAAGACTAGAGGAACATGTGCTTCGTCTGCTACTTGTCACAAGGCAAATGGGAAAGACAAGAAAAAGAAGTAGATGACAGATGACACTGAGCGATGAACAATATATGGTGCACAGCATCCATTACTGGAAAATCCAAGAACTTTTGGAACAAAAAGGTTATTCATTTCACTGTAAATTGAAAAGCCTAATTAAATATTTCCAGTGGTTATTTACACAAAAATTACCTACAGGAATGATGGTGCCACCTTGATTCCACCGGCACACCTTTAAGGAGTGGTTGGTCAGGATAGCGCTAGTCTGGGTTCAGTCTTCATGACAGCCCCACTCTTTGTTTTAATTTAAAAATCAATATTTACAAAGCGACACAGCTGGCCAAGGTAAGCAGCGCAAAAACAAAAAAATAGAGTAAAGGAAGGACACAACACAAGCACTGCACGAGTCATGCACTGCCGGGACTACTGGTGCGCTGCAGATTTTTTGACAAAAAGGGTTATTTTCCGCCACCACGACTAGCTGACAAGGAAAATATTCGGTGCTCCCTGAATTCAAAAGACAGGGCAAAACTGTGTCAATCAGCCATCAATTGCTCTCCAAGATAATGAAATTTTTTTATTATTTTAACCACTAACATTGTTAAGATAAGTTGCCTCGTGTCTACACAGAAGTGTTTTCAGTTTTCTTACCTAGTGAGAGCAGTCGCAAAAAGTTGTATATGTTCGGTGTTTCTTCGTTTCTCACAATGCTCATGTAGAGTTCTTCCCTTACTCTGTCTGTTTTTTGCATTTTTTTAGCTCGACCGGCTATAAATAGTTACCAACTTGCCCAGTTTTCAATAGTACTCTACAATGTGAGACCATGCTTCTCGATGAAAGTGCTCGGTTCAAAGCCACAACGCAGGTCTTTTGAAATATACAGCAAACTCCCGTTAAGACGAACTCTGTCAAGACAAATTCTTGCTGAAGACGAACAACACGGAAATGTTTGTTTGGTTTCCCATAAACTCAATGCAAACGAAAAAAATCTGCATAAGAGGAACCGTGTAACAGGCCTCTTCTGTTATGACGAACTCTGACAGCAACAGACAATGACAGGGATTCTGTGTAACGAACACTAGAGTCTTGGTGAGGGTATCCAGATGACCAAGAGAAGGCAAGGGGGATAAAAGGGCCTTTCTGGCACAAACACTCAAAGCAAATCAAAAGCAAATTGCGACGCGTCTTTTTTGTGTGCACAAGGCTTGTGATCAATCGTGAGTAGCGAAAACAGAGATCTTCAGCTGCACGTAGTTACTTTGAGCTGAAAATAAGAAAGTACCCAAACCTCAAAGAAAACCTTGCAAACTTTCATAACCAACCTGGTGTATATTGGCTTCGTCAAGGTAACAGTGTGCAATGGAGGCATATCCAAAAGTGATAACAGAGGCAGTAAAGGCGCCTCTGAAAAAGTGAACAAATTTTCCCTTTTTTGAAGGGAAATTGTGGTAGTCTCTTCATTTTCATCTTTTCATTATAAGGAAAATATGGTCATGCTAGAGTTTTATTGTTAAAATGTGGTAGGAATTTATAAGCATATTTATTATGAGCTTGTTAAGGGGGCAGACTGGTCTTACAATTTTTTTTGTTTATTTCTTCAGTGATCTTGATCAAACTGCACAAAATTATGCAGTTTTTTCTTCTGATTTCAAATATTTAATTAGTTTTCCTTTAACTCATCTTGTTCCTGAGATAACTTAAACTCACCCCCTATTGTTCAAGGCCACCATAGAAAAAAAAAGTGCCTAACTAAAAGTGCTATTTAAGATATGCCGACATAGAATAATGACTATAGATTGAAAGTATGCAAGAGTTTTTTGTTTTTAGGCCTTTCTTGGTTATTTTACAGCAAAATGAACTATCCATTTTCAAAAGCAGTTGAAATCGTATTGCAATTTTGATGAGTAATTAGAATTTTGATGAGTAATTCAAAGCTACAACGCGAGTCTTCCCAAATATACTGTAAACTCCCGTTAAGACAAACTCTGTCAGACAAATTCTTGCTGAAGACAAACAACACGGAAACATTTGTTTGGTTGAATTCTACACACATATAGGTTTCCATTGCAAAAAGAATTATTATTGTAGCTGCCCTAGCTGCAGAGATATTGAGGCCTCAAAATTGAACAGTAGTAAATTTACTTTTTTGAGAAAAATAGAAAAAACTGAAAACACACAGCTTCTTCAAAAAACAATGAAAGTGTGCATGTTTTGTAATCCTCATAAAGGAGCTCATAAATTGATAGCAGAGCTTCTAAAACAGGTGCTGGCAAATTATAAAAAAGCCTCGAAGTCTGTTGTCTATTTTTTTCCAGGTTCTGCATATTAATAGCACCAAGAATCTGGGCAGTTATAATGACATTACAACAAAATTACCACTTCCTGGAGTGTAAAAATTTGAGAAGATAGAAAAATACTTGCAGAAACCAAATATGTCAATTTTTAAAAAATAATTTTTTTGTCACTTTTTGGTCACGAAGACCAGTCTGCCCCCTTAAATTGATCATTCGTTAGATTATTGTAAATACTTTACTTGAAAGTATACTTTAAATCAAGCTGAGCCGAATAAATGCTTTCCTTGTTCTTTTCCTCTCCACTGCAAGTATAATCTATTCAGTGTTTTTCAAGCAACATATTGGGCGCACTTGGGGGCACTCCTGATAAGATGAACTCTTGATAAGACAAACAAATGATCCTGGTCCCTTCAAGTTCGTTTTAAAGGGAGTCTACTGTATTATGTCTCTAGAGCACCATCTCCAACAAGCTGAAAGATTGGTTGGACTCGTTCTGTTATGCTCACTCATGCAGAGGCACATGAGGGTCTTTACTGCTTCACCTTTCTATTTTTTCCCTCTCTCTGTACAGTGAACAGAGAGAGGGATGAAAGACTTTGCCAGAGCACCATCATAAGTATCATGGCCACTACAGCTCGATCTGAACGTCATTTTTTTTTCTTTTCGCGATTGAATTGTGCTGCATTGCAACAATAATACCAACACTACAAGCAAATTTTGCCATTGTATTCGACTCAAACTAGTCAGTGCTAGGGACTGGGGTGAAAGTGTTGCTGCCTTCTAAACACTTATTTTTTTATTGCTTTTTGTGTCACTCAATTACCACCCATTTTCTGAGTGCACATTTTTCTACTGGCAATTTTTCGTTGTTTAAGACTACCCACCCATGCTCGTCCACATTTTCACTGAACAGTACTGGCTGCCCACTGCCATCGTGATGGTCCTTCATGTATCTTCACCTTTCACTTGCAGTTTCCCCTTTCATTGCAGAAGCCACATGCGGCAGCTTCTTGACAAATTCTAATGCAAAGTAGCCTATGCCATTTACAAAACCAACCTTTACTAAACGTTGCCATTACCATAAAATCCCAAGCAAGCACCCTCCCTCAACAAGTCAAAGTTACTGGCAAAGTGGAAGAGAGGCATTTCCTGGAATGGCACCAAAACTCAAGATGGCGAAAGCAATGTTTTCCGCCAGAAAACAGAGTGCACATGGATATCTTCAGAAGCCTTCTGACTCTCATTCGTAGCATAGCACGCTACAATGATGACTCACAAACATAAAAAACACAAAATTAATGCAATCTAACAGTTCTAAGTTCTATTATGAGCAATGTAATCAAGCTGTTCTGAGCTCCCAACATTCGATTCCAGCAAAGTTTCCACAACATCCAGTATTTTGGAGTACTAGTAGTTTCTGATATTAAGCATAGTCGTTCCCCATAAGAGAATACAATGGGTTAACTTAAAATAGACTAGCACATAATAAATCTGCAGTCTCAACCACACGGGTAACAGACAGGCTTACAGTGTAGACCACTTATAACGTAACCACTTATAGTGCAGAACAGGTTACAATGCGGTCTTTTTTTACTCCCGTTCACCCTCTCGTAGAACGCCATGTTTATGCATATCGCTTATTGTGCAGTCGCTCAAGATGAGACACCGGTTATAATGTGGTTGCCTGAAATCTTTGTGACAATCACGGCGCAAGTGCACGTCCGAAAGGAGGTGCGCTGGGTGCTCCGCTGGGGAGCGAGCAACGAGCTCGTTACAGAGGGGGGAGGATGCGGAGTGAACGAACAAAGAGCAGAGGAAAGAAAAAGAGAAGGAAAATACACCGCGGTACTCTGCGTGGGCTGTTGCCTCAGCGACGGATTAAACAGCGGATAAGCCTTAGCACAGGCACCGACGCAGAATAGCGTCACTACCGTGGTTCCGCTAACATGTGGCTCAATCAAAGCTTTTCAGCCATTATTCTAGATCATCTGGCACAGCATCAACAATGTGCAGAGCTATGTAGGGGTGCATATTGCCTTAGAGATGCAGAGTGGCATAAGTTGGCAAAATTCATGGAGCTCACTCAGACTCTCTCATGATTTTGCACTTAAAAGGGCCCTGCAACACTTTTAGAGCATGGTCAGAAAACACTGCTGATTGGTAGTATGGGCTCCAGAGAACACGCGAGCTAAATATTATAGCGCTGCGCAGC